ACGTCCCAGAAAAATGTTCGCCAGTTATCCACATATGTGTAGAACATATCTACATTTTTTTCCAAACACTGTATTGTGACCTTATCAATATATTTAGTATTGATGTTTTCATGTTCCTCAAGATATTTAAATCAAGTGGTATATTTCAAAAAAACATCGCAAAAAAATGTTCTGCAGTCTTTTTCATCTAGAACATATCTACATTTTTCTTCTAACACTTCATTCTTACCTGATGAATATTTCAGAAAAGTGATCTTTAATGTTTCAAATATGAAACAGAAAAATGTTCTTAAGTTTATATTTATTTTTTATTTGGTCACGATTATGATTTAAACCAGAAATCGTCTGTTCCAAAAAAAAAACGGTTCAAAAAAGTGTTCACTGTTCTGCGTATAAACTTATAAACACATATCTATTTTTGCCACCCGAACGTAAGCTAAGGAAGTATTTCCATCCGACGAATTGCCACTTTCATGTTTTCTCGACTTTTCCGTCCGTCTGTCTGTCATCTGTGTCGATATTCATTAGACAATTTCCGAAACTACTGGACCAATTGTTGTCAAATTTTATAAAATAACTTGTGGTTTATAAATCCGCCTTGATTGTTTATCCTAAATAAAATAATTCCCAGCTTTGCCATATTCAAAGAATTTTTGCATAAAACTTCAGTTGATTTCGTTACGTATACAGACTAATTAAATTTGCCGATTGTCTTCGCATATTCAAATGTCATCAAATCTGGTATCAAAAGAAAACTTGTTTAGAGACAAGTTCCAAATTGTAAAAAAATACAGGTGTGCCATTTGAAAAAAAAAATCGAAAAAAAATTGCAAATATAGTCGCTTTGTATAAATAAATAAGTTTAAACATTTTACGGCTTTTGACGTTGACGTTGAAATGTTTGGTGTAAAATTCCAGTTCTCCACCTTTAGAAATTGCGGAAAACTGTTTTTTTTTTTCGTAAATTCTGCATAGTGCGTAATAAATTTAAAAACGTGCATAACAACGTGTCATAATTCTGCGAATTTTTTTGTCTTGACTTGACAGCGGTTAGACCTACCCATGTGCTCTTTCCCGCACTCCCCCCACCACTCCCTCGCCAAATTTCGCCGAATCAGCTCATACAACCTTCCCCGAAGCGCTCCGGTTTCTCCGCAGCCGCCGTCTATTTTTAATCCTCAACCGAATAATATTTTTCAGAATCAACACGAATCCACGCAAACCGCCCCCATTTTAACCCTCGTTCGTTCCGTTCATTCATGAATGACAAACCCGAGCCGCCAGCGAAAAAAACTCCGTTCATTAAACATGCACGACGCGGCGCAACGCGACACGAGAATCGAATTAAGAATACCAATATTTATTCAAATAATTACCGGAATTAACAGGACGTTTGTTTTGAATCGATAATACTACGACGTCCAGCTGCGTGATTTACGACGAATTAAACACTCTTTCCCTCCCGACTCCTCCCAATTTCCACGTTTTGATAAGCCGCGATAACGCGGAAAATCGATATATCGCGTTGACGTAACGCCGTGGGAAAACGACGATGGCGACGCGAGGGGAGGCCATCGCGATTGGCCAACGCGGTCACGTGCGCGTGGGGGGGATGCTCGTGATTAATTACGTCGGCGAGTACACCTTGTTTCGTGGAAATGTGACAGAGTGTACGCAGGGTCTAAAATTAGACGCATTATGTCTACTGTAATTATTCGTTTAACGAGTTTAAGTGGAACGTTCTAAATATACGGACGCCGGACGTAAGCGGATAGGAGAGGAGAAGGATTGATTCCCGCCAAAAATGTGGGCGATCACGTGAGCGACGCCCATTGGAAGCGGCGTATTGTGATTATGCTTAATTAAGGCGCCACCCTGTAATTTTCATGCTCTGGAACGGCGGTGGTGAATTAGCCAATTAGCTCGAATTTATTTTTCGCGCTTTAATTGGAACGTGGAGTGGTAATTAAATTTTGTTGTATGGAGTCGTTGTTTTCGACGAAATTAATTACGAGTGCGGAGGAGAGAACGGTGATTATTCTCACGGACTTTTTTTAAGTTAATTTGGGCGGGTTTGTTTGGGTTGGAGCGGCCGGCTGACAAGCGGAAATTTAAATAGGAATATCACGACGCGGATTGCTTTAATAGGGCCGTTTTATGAATGTCCTGTTAAAAAAAATATATTCACAGCTACAGGACTCGTGATAATGAAAGATTGATTCTATTGTGAATTATACAGACATTTATGCTAATGATAATATTGTTTCTTACAGTAGTAAAAATATATACAAACTGTGTCTGCGTCAATTAGTGAATTCCATCTGTTCAGTAAACGGAGTATGAGTGCAGAGGGGAACCGCCACGATCGAAAACGGGTTAACAGTCGGATGCGCTTTGACGTTTCGCTTGGTAATTGCGCGTTCTGAATGTCAAATAGCGTCGTCATCGCGCTTTGACATTTCCCCCAAAAATGTCGCTTAATTTTAATCCGAAAACGTGAATTTTGGAAATCTCGTTAAAAATAGACGCGATCCGATAAGGAAACCTTGCGCTTTATCGATCTCTAGGCCGAGTGTTTTTCTATGATCGCGTTGTTTTTGTCGGAGTTGGATGTAAACAAGTGCGAATTCTGCTCTGCACGCCTTTGCCATTATGACGTGGACCCAACCTGAATAACAATTCGGTCCGGTGGCTTTGTATGGCGATGGACGAAGGATCCGGGCGGCACCGGGACGTCACCGTCACCGCGTTCGCCCGAAATTAAATAGGCGCAAAAAATGAAGTTGTATTTTTTAATGACCGACGAGTAGAGAATAAACAGTTTATTGACGTCAGAGGTGCGCTTGTTTGTCGGCAGAGCGGAGCGAAAGAGGTGGGAAATGTGGGCAGAGGACGGGGGGCGAGAGTGAGGCGGTTTTGTTTTTCACAGGAAAACTTATCGAAATCGTGAGACGGTTTTCTGCGAAAGCGAAACACCTTTTTGAGAAATATACAAGAGAGTTTCATTGTCCGGGTATTGCTGCGTCCGATGTATACTTTCGTTCACGCAAGAGGCGTTCCTGCATCCTGCAAAAAATGGTGACTGGACTACAATTAACCCAGGGAAGAACCTGCTTTTTTTAGCACGCGTTATCAAACAAAATCGTGAGACGGTTTTCTGCGAAAGCGAAGCACCTTTTTGCAGAAATATACAAGAGAGTTTCATTGTCGGGGTGTTGCTGCGTCCGATGTATACTTTCTTTCACGCAACAGGCTTTCCTGCATCCTGCAAAAAATGGTGACTGGACTACAGTTAACCCAGGAAAGAACCTGCTTTTTGTAGCTCGCGCTATCAAACTATTTACTTTTTTTTTTGGCTTTTCTTTAGTCGGCGCGATGTGGGGAAGCCGTAAATACGTACACAATCCATTCTTATTTTTATCGCACGTGATAACCCAAGGTCCCGTCCTTGACTTTTTTGTTTACTTATCGGCCAGAAAAATCGTATCTGGTCGATCGCACAAACCCGCCCGAAATAACCCTCCACCACTGTCCGGTCGACACGTGACCGTTTAAAAGGCAGACATACCGTTGAAATAATGAATTGACGTAGTCTCGTTACGCACTTACAACAACAGGAAACAGATAACAAAGTGAATTATTCATGACTGCGGCGCACATAACGGCCAAAACCTCCACATTCCCACATTCGCTGTGATTTCTGCTTTTTCTCCAGGGATCTAGAGCACCTGTCAACCGGAAGTGAGGTTAGGACGGCGCGGATTTGACGCTTTTCCGAAAAGTGAAAGTAAACGCCGTTGTGTTTAGCTTGCTCTAGTGCTTTCAGTTGTTCGTTACTGGTCATTTTTGGTTTCTAACCTCACTGTCGCCGACGAGCGTCGCATTCGAGCGTCGCAGCCTCCTCGGGACCGTTGCGCATCGCTCTCGAAAGTCACAAACAGGAAATTCCGATCCGTTGTCTTGTTTATTCGCAATTAACGATCGAAAAAAACATTAGTGATTCATCGACGCGCTATTAGCGGATGTGCCGAGGCCGAAAATAAGATGCACAGTGATGTGCGAAAACCTGCAGGAAATAACAAACCGCGGTATGCCGAAAGTAGAACGCGGTGCACTTTATAATTTCGTTTAATGACGAAATCCGTGTGGCAATTCGAAAAGGCGACTGAGCGAATCGACGGTTCGGTCGGTGACGCCGCCACTGCCTTTATTTATGAAAATTAAATTTCCGGCCGGAAAATCTTATCTCGCGAATAAAACTTTTTTCATTATTGTGTGTTTGTTATTTTGTGTGCGAGAACTTTCGAATTTCCTCCCCTTCGGACGAAAACAGTTTTGATTGGAGTTTTTCGAGGAATACTAGTACAATCTGAGTTTTTCGTCACGTAGATGATAAAATGATAAAATTACCAGAGAATACCGACGATCGAGCAGAGTCGCCCTTATGGTAGAGGACGTAGAGCCGTCTTTTGTACGACGTTTTTGCCATAACGAGGATTGTTGGCGTCAATAATAGCGCTATTTAACCCCCAGCCGCCTAATTTTACTAGCTCAATGAGCAAATCCCCGCCGGTGTCACCTTTTCCAACAATAAATCTTTACGCAACGACAACCTCACCTCAACGTCATGAAATCGACAATCGCATCCGACGGATATTATTTTCGTCCACCGCGACGCTCCGATCTAAATCCGTCATGTTTTTGTGCGATGATCATTCATGTTTTGCATGGCCATTCTTAATATAATCGTATTTAAATGTGGAGATAAAAATTGGAGCGAGAAGTACGGATTCATTGTTGTGTCTCGATTTGGCTTTATTCTGTTCCGCGTACAGCGAAACACGGCCAGACGGACAATATTGTCGGAATAAATTAACGTCTAGACGAATGGTATCGGGCCAAGAATAAATTTTCGGAAATTCGGGGGAGTGATAAGATCGAGGGTTGGGTGTTGAGGCAGAGGGGAAGAGTGGATGTTGTAATTTGTTTGTTTGTTGCAGAACACGTGTGGCAAGTGACTGTACTTAATAGGGGCCTGGGAAATGCGGGCCTTGTGGGTAATTACAGGCTGTGTCTCACCGACAAGACGCTAAGCTTGATCAAGAGAGACTGCGAAGTGCCGCAGATTGAACTGAATTTGACGAATATAAGGAGTTGCGGGAACCTGAGGGACTTCTTCTTTCTAGAGGTGGGTACAACGAAGTTGTTTATTTTTTGTTAAAAAAAATGACGTCGCGGTTTTCATTGACGGAAGCGTTTAAGCAACGAGCGGAATTAATTAATTAATTAAGCGCATAGTGCTGAATGAAATAACATGCATTGTGGAGTTTTCGGCAGCTTTCGTCACTCCCCGTTATCCTTCGTCAATGTTTTTAATTTTAGTTGCAATTTTCTTGTATGTTTTTCTTATTATTTCTTCTTTTTTGGCTTTGATAATATTTTTACCTTTCTTGCTACTCTTTTTTTATAAAATTTAATCTTTATATCCAGTGTTTATTAAAAAAATAAATTATCACAAATATTAAATATCGATATTCGCTCATTTTAGTAAATTAGTTGTACCTAATTTAGTCCAGTTTCTTGTAAAAAAAGGGTTTGTAAAATTTTTGAACTGACATGAATTTTACAATAAAATTTCATATTTAGGGTCTTTGGAAAATTTTCAAAATTCTGAATTAAAAATACAAGGGGTTAACAAAAAAACTCAAAAAATGTAAGTATGTACATACTTATTAAAATAATGTTTCCAAATTTTTCGAAAAAAGATAGATTTTTTTATACAATATTTTGATATTTGGGGTTTCAGAAAATTTTCAAAATTTTTAGTTGATAATACGAGGAGTTGTCAAAAAACTTAAAAAATGTAAATAGAATAAAACTCATGTTTGGCAACGTATTTCTAAAATCTGACACATAAAATTTAGTCAAAATAAGACTATATAATACTTATATAAGAAGAATTTTAGAAGTTTTCGAAATAACATGGATTTTACAATGATATATGGCCAAAAATTTTAAAAATCGTAAAAAATAAAAGTAATGTTTTAACCTATTTCTAAAATCTGGTGGCATAAAATTTACTCAAAATTCTATAGAGTTTCCAAATTTTTCAGTGATTGTTTTCGTATTTGTTGGGGCTTCAGAAATTTTCAAAATACGCGAAGTCACCAAAAAAGTAAAAAAGTATGCAAGTATTAAAAGTAATGTTTCAAGATATTTGTAAAATCTGGTGGATATATAAAATTGAGTAAAAATTTCAGTAAAAAAAATCAAAATTTTTAGTAGAATCTTCAAAAAATTTTCAAAATTTTGAGTTAAAAACCTAACGTTTAGTCAGAATTTCATTGCTTCCAAATTTTTCGAAATAAATAGGATTTTTCAATGATTATTTTGTTATTTGGGGATTCAGAATATTTTCAAAATTTTTAGTTGGAAGTACTAGTAGTCTTCAAAAAAGCTAAAAAATGTAAGTCATGAAAGGAAAGATCTAGCCTATTTCTAAAATCTGATGCATAAAATTTCGTCAAAAACAGTTTCCAAATTTTTCGAAATTATGTACATGAATTTTTCAATGACAATTTAGAAAATATTTTTTTTTCGAAATAAGATGGATATTTCAATGATAGTTTCATATTTGTGACTTTCACAAATTTTTCATGATTTTCAGTTGAAAATATGAGAACTAATAAAAAAGTTAAAAAAACGTAATCAATAAAATAATGTTTCGATCTATTTTTAAAATCTGATAACAGACAATTTAGTCAAAGTTTAATGAATGTAGTTTCCAAATTTTTCGAAATACAAGAGATGGCTTTTTTAATAATATATATTCATATTAAGGGTTTCAGAAAATTTTCAAAATTTTGAACTGTAATCCGAGGAGTCAAAAAAATAAAAAAAAATGTAAATAATAAAACGAATGTTTGCCAACGTATTTCTAAAATCTGATACATAAACTTTCGCCAAAATTTTATATGAAAGAAATTTAAAAATTTTCGAAATAACATGCATTTTACATGGTTACTTCAGAAAATATTCAAAATTTTGTGTTGAAAATACGAAGTCATGAAAAAATTTTTAAAAATCGTAAGTAATAAAAGTAATGTTTTAACGTATTCTAAAATCTGATAACATAACATTTAGTCAAAATTTCGTAGTTTCCAAATTTTTCGAAATAAGTTGAACTTTTCAGTGATTATTTTCGTATTTGTTGGGGCTTCAGAAGTTTTCAAAATTTTTAGTTGAAACTACGCGGCAAAATTTCATATAAAACAGAGTTTCGAAGTTTTTAGAAATACGATGGATTTTTCAATGACATTTTCGTATTTGGAACCTTCAGAAAATTTTCAAAATTTTGAGTTGAAAACAACTTGAGAAAAACGTAAACAGTACAAGTAATGTTGCAAACTATTTCTAAAATTTGATAACATAAATTTTGGCCAAAATGTTATGGTTTTCAAATTTTTCGAATTAATTGGATTTTTCAATGACTATTGTGTTATTTTGGGATTCAGAATATTTTCAAAATTTTTAGTTGAAAGTAGTCATCAAAAAAGTTAAAAAACATAAGTAATAAAACTAATGTTTCAACTTATTTCTAAAATCTGATACATAAAATTTAGTCCAAATTTCATAGCAAAAATTAGTTCCCAAATTTTTCGAAATTACTTAAATTTTTTAATGACAGTTTCATATTTGGGGCCTCCAGAAAATTTCCAAAATTTCGAATTGACTGCCTTAAAAAAAACCAAAAAAAATGTAATAAAAGTAATATTTCACCTATTTCAAAAATATACATAAAATGTAGTCAAAATCTCTTATAAAAAAGATTTTCCAACTTTTTCAAAATAAGGTGAATTTTTCAAAAATACTTTCATATTTTGGGCATTTAAAAAAAATTTCATAACTGAGTTGAAAATATGAAGAGTCATCAAAAAAGTCAAAAGACGTAAACTATAAAATTGGAACATTATATCTATGTTCAAAATCTGATAACAGAAAATTTAGTCAAAATTTCCAAATTTTTCGAAATAAGGTGGATTTTTCAAAGAATATTTTCTGTTTTTGGAACTTCAAAATGTTTTCAGAATTTTTAGCTAAAAAAAGTTAAAAAAATAGAGTTAATAAAATTTTAACTTATTTCGAAAATCTCATACTTAAGATTTAATATCAAAAAACAATCTCCAAAGTTTGTGGAGTGACATGAATTTTTCAAAATTTCAAGTTGAAAATCCAAGGAACCGCCAAAAAATTAAAAAAAAAACCGTAAACAAAAGAATGTTTCAATTTATGTTCAAAATCTGAAGACAAAAAATTTAGTCAAAATTTCATATATATAGTTTCCAAATTTTTCGAAATTAGGTGGATTTTTCAAAGAATATTTTCCTATTCTTGGAACTTCAAAATATTTTCAGAATTTTTAGCTAAAAAAGTTAAAAAAAACAGAATTAATAAAATTTTAACTTATTTCTAAAGTCTGATACTTAAGATTTAATATCAGAAAACAATCTCCCAAGTTTGTGGAGTGACATGAATTTTTCAAAATTTCAAGTTGAAAATGCAAGAAATCGTCAAAAAATTCAAAAAAAAAACGTAAACAAAAGAATGTTTCAATTTATGTTCAAAATCTGATAACAAAAAATTTAGTCAAAATTTCATATATATAGTTTCCAAATTTTTCGAAATTAGGTGGATTTTTCAAAGAATATTTTCCTATTCTAGGAACTTCAAAATATTTTCAGAATTTTTAGCTAAAAAAGTTAAAAAAAATAGAATTAATAAAATTTTAACTTATTTCTAAAATCTGATACTTAAGATTTAATATCAGAAAACAATCTCCCAAGTTTGTGGAGTGACATGAATTTTTCAAAATTTCAAGTTGAAAATGCAAGAAATCGTCAAAAAATTCAAAAAAAAAACGTAAACAAAAGAATGTTTCAATTTATGTTCAAAATCTGATAACAAAAAATTTAGTCAAAATTTCATATATATAGTTTCCAAATTTTTCGAAATTAGGTGGATTTTTCAAAGAATATTTTCCTATTCTAGGAACTTCAAAATATTTTCAGAATTTTTAGCTAAAAAAGTTAAAAAAAATAGAATTAATAAAATTTTAAATTATTTCTGAAATCTGATACTTAAGATTTAATATCAAAAAACAATCTCCAAAGTTTGTGGAGTGACATGAATTTTTCAAAATTTCAAGTTGAAAATCCAAAGGAATCGTTAAAAAATTAAAAAAAAAAACGTAAACAAAAGAATATTTCAATTTATGTTCAAAATCTGATGACAAAAAACTTAGTCAAAGTTTCATATATATATAGTTTCCAAATTTTTCGAAATTAGGTGGATTTTTCAAAGAATATTTTCCTATTCTTGGAACTTCAAAATATTTTCAGAATTTTTAGCTAAAACAGTTAAAAAAAATTGAATTAATAAAATTTTAACTTATTTCTAAAATCTGATACTTCAGATTTAATATCAAAAAACAACCTCCAAAGTTTATGGAGTGACATGAATTTTTCAAAATTTCAAGTTGAAAATCCAATTATCATAAAAAAAATTCAAAAAAAAAAACGTAAAGAAAAGAATGTTTCAATTTATGTTCAAAATCTGATAACAAAAAATTTAGTCAAAATTTCATATATATAGTTTCCAAATTTTTCGAAATTAAGTGGATTTTTCAAAGAATATTTTACTATTTTTGGAACTTCGAAATATTTTCAGAATTTTTAGCTGAAAAAAGTTAAAAAAAAATAAAATTAATAAAATTTTAACTTATTTCTAAAATCTGATACTTAAGATTTAATATCAAAAAACAATCTCCAAATTTTGTGGAGTGACATGAATTTTTCAAAATTTCAAGTTGAAAATCCAAGGAATCGTCAAAAAATTCAAAAAAAAAACGTAAACAAAAGAATATTTCAATTTATGTTCAAAATCTGATGACAAAAAACTTAGTCAAAGTTTCATATATATAGTTTCCAAATTTTTCGAAATTAGGTGGATTTTTCAAAGAATATTTTCCTATTCTTGGAACTTCAAAATATTTTCAGAATTTTTAGCTAAAACAGTTAAAAAAAAATTGAATTAATAAAATTTTAACTTATTTCTAAAATCTGATACTTCAGATTTAATATCAAAAAACAACCTCCAAAGTTTATGGAGTGACATGAATTTTTCAAAATTTCAAGTTGAAAATCCAATTATCATAAAAAAAATTCAAAAAAAAAACGTAAAGAAAAGAATGTTTCAATTTATGTTCAAAATCTGATAACAAAAAATTTAGTCAAAATTTCATATATATAGTTTCCAAATTTTTCGAAATTAAGTGGATTTTTCAAAGAATATTTTCCTATTTTTGGAACTTCGAAATATTTTCAGAATTTTTAGCTGAAAAAAGTTAAAAAAAATAAAATTAATAAAATTTTAACTTATTTCTAAAATCTGATACTTAAGATTTAATATCAAAAAACAATCTCCAAATTTTGTTTAGTGACATGAATTTTTCAAAATTTCAAGTTGAAAATCCAAGGTGTTTCGGCTAGCTTAAATTAGTTTTTTTTCTTATACATCTAACCCTCCAATTATGTTTACGACCGTGCCTCCGGTCCAGCCAGACGTTCGGGATCACCACGTCTGTGACCCTCACACGTGTGTGTGGGAAAAGGGGATGAAAGTGCCAAAGGAACCACCAGCGGCATTCAGTAGCCTTTCGATCTCCAAATCGATCAGTTCAATAAAACACCCCTGCGTGTCCTTTCGTGTTGCAATTTCTTCGTACTTGTTATCGTTTCGTGTACCAGTGCCCTTACGGTACGCATTTCGCCGCGTGTGTCATCTCGTTCGCTACTCATCCCCTTTCTTCGTTTACATCGCTGACAGACACATCACCAGGTAAGTCGTAACTTATTGGAGGCAATTATTTTTCTTATTTAATAAATTTTCGCGAACACAAGGAATCGTCAAAAAATTCAAAAAAAAAAAAAGGTAAACAGTAAAAGAATGTTTCAATTTATGTTTAAAATCTGATAACAAAAAATTTAGTCAAAATTTCATGCATGTAGTTTCCAAATTTTTCGAAATAAAGTAGATTTTTCAATTTTCAAAATTTTTAGCTGAAAATATACGGGATCTTCAAAAAAGTTAAAAAAAAATGGAAGCAATAAAATTTCAACCTACGTATTTCTAAAATCTGATACTTAAAATTTAATATCGAAAAACAGTCTCCTAATTTTTGGAAATAAAGTGGATTTTTCAATGATTATTTTCCTATTTTTGGAACTTCAAAAAAGTTAAAATCTGATACTTAAAATTTAATATCAGAAAACAATCTGAAAATTTTTGAAGTAATGTGAATTTTTCAAAACGGTTTCATATTTAGGGCCTTTTGAATATTTTCAAAATTTCAAGTAGAAAATCCGAGGAATCGTCAAAAAATTCTAAAAAACGTAAACAATAAAATAATGTTTAAAATCTGATAACAAAAAAATTTAGTAAAATTTTATGTACCTATATAGTTTCCAAATTTTTTTAAATACCGTAGATTTTTCAATTATTTTCCTATTTTTGGAACTTCAAAAAAGTTAAAATCTGATACTTAAAATTTAATATCAGAAAACAATCTCAAAATTTTTGAAGTAATGTGAATTTTTCAAAACGGTTTCATATTTAGGGCCTTTTGAATATTTTCAAAATTTCAAGTAGAAAATCCGAGGAATCGTCAAAAAATTCTAAAAAACGTAAACAATAAAATAATGTTTAAAATCTGATAACAAAAAAAATTTAGTAAAATTTTATGTACATATATAGTTTCCAAATTTTTTTAAATACCGTAGATTTTTCAATTATTTTCCTATTTTTAGAATTTCAATTATTTTCCTATTTTTGGAATTTCAAAATTTTTAGCTGAAAATATGCGGGGTCATCAAAAAAGTTAAAAAAAAGGGAAATAAAAAAATTTCAACCTTTTTCAAAAATCTGATACTTAAAATTTAATATCAGAAAACAGTTTCTAAATTTTTCGAAGTAACATTAATTTTTCAAAACAGTCTCATATTTGAGGTCTTCAGAAAATTTTCAAAAGTTCAAGTTGAAAATCCGAGTAGTCATCAAAAAAGTTAAAAATGTAAGTAATAAAAGTAATCATTCAACCTATTTTTGAATTCTGTTACATAAAATTTTATTAAAATTTCAAACAGATTTTCCAAATTTTTCGAAATAAGATGGATTTTTCAATGATACATAGTTTCATATTTGGAACTTTCGGAAAATTTTTCCGTTTTTATTTTAGTCAAAATGTATTAGTTTATTTACTTTTTTTGAGATGTGTGCCAATTCCAGAAAACAAAATTTCTTAAAGAAAATGCGTGTATAGAAACATGGCATACTGAGATTTTGAGATGACGTCATCAAGTTTTTGGAATGAATGAACAAATAAATTCTGTGCAAAATTTCAGCATTGGAGATTTCAAATAGCATTTATTCGACAAAATTTGAAGAAACCTCGTCACTTTTTTGTAGGAAACGAAGGCCTACGTGTTCATATTCTAGGAGCTACGAAATCTCAAAAAAACATGACATAAGTAATGTGTAAAAAGGACAAAAATCCTCGAAACAAAATCAGAAAAAACAAAACTGACTAAAAACCCATTTAATTCCCTACTGCTACCACTTTCTTATGTGCATATTTAAAAAAGCGTCCACACATTTACTATTTACTCAGCAAATAATGACGTTAAACCATTATTATTTCGTGTGCTCTAACAACTGAATCTTAAAAAATGTGTAATTAGCACCCGATTTCCTTTGCTCTCCGAAGGCCAACGAACACCGAACTCAAATCTATGTTTTCGTTTGCAGTTTTTATTTATTTAATAATTTTTCGAGATGACGTCATCGATTTTGTTAGTGGGGATAAATATATTGCGTTCAATAAGTTTTTGAAATGACGCCATCAAAAAACGAAAGTAGATGTTTCTCGGAGTAATTGGATTTGAAATTAGTGAAAAGAAGACAAGCAGTGTTGTAAAGGTTTGTGAAGAAATTTCGAAAATTGATTCACGAGAAGCCAGTTTGACGTAACTAGCAATTGTGATAGATAATTTTACTTTAAGTTGGTGGACAAGTTGTTAAACTTTTTCTAGAACAAACAGATTTGTAACACAAAAACTGAACAGAGTGAAAAAAATGGCATGTAGGTAATAAAACTAATAGTACTGAGAGATCTTTTAATATACTCAAGATGTCGAAAGAAAAAAGAAGAAAAAGAACTAAGACAAAAAGTAATTGGTTGGTAAAAAGTAACTAACAAAATAGATTGAGTAAAAACTTTCAGTCAACAAAAAATTGAGTCGTTTGAAGTCGGTTGGCTGTTTTCATTTTTCTTTCCTTTGTGACTAGCCACATATTTCGTATCGTTACCTTGAATTTTTTCCGTGTTTATCTTCACGAATAAAATTTATAACTCCAACATCTGTAGTTTTAACAAAGGACTTCAAGATGATTAACATCTTCATCCGAGTGTGTAAATAATAGATCGATTTATTTTTTGGCAACCTTTTTACGAAATTTTCTAATGTTGCCAATTGAATTTAACGCTCTTCACGGTACAACGCTCAATCGGAATGAATTCCGCGTCGGAATTCGCAAATTTCAAATTTCATTTTCACTCCATTCCGAGGAAACGGGCCGCAGACGCAGGAATTCGCTCCCCTTTGTACTCCGTCACCGCAAAGATGGCGCTGTCGTCGCAAAAAGCCGCCAACGAGTTTTCGGGTGGTCCGAGCCGCCCCCGACGCCGCCGCCGCCGTCTGCGTCCTTGCGGAAAAAATATTCGGCGCGGTCGAGTGCCAACTTTTCCAGACAAAACAACAAATATCTCGCCGTCCGCCGACGTTGTCGCTTTTTATTCCCACGACGGCGGCGCTCCGAAAATAACAATCCGCGGACGCACGCCTCAGGTCTACCAACCTCTCGGCAAGAAGAGGAGGTATTTAATTTCGTCGGGTTTTGCATAATACGCGATGGCGATAAGAGGTGGAGGTGCGCAGCGCGGTGCCGCTTTTCGCACCAAGTTCACGGCCTCGACGACGAGTTTAATTACCTCGGGGAATGCCCATCTCTAGACACAACACACACACCTTCGTCGAATTTCAACGCCGACCTTGATGCTGTTCTCTAACGCTCATCTGGTTTTTTTCTTTTGCAGATCGGAAGATCCAGCACTCTGGGGGCCGGTGAACTATGGATGCAGACGGAGGATAACAACATCGCCCAGAATATCCACTCAACAGTTTTCCAGTAAGCGGGTTCAGTTTTATTGTTGTTGTTATTGTTGGGATGTACAAGAGTGTTGTAAATGTGGCTGAGACGGAAAATGGAAATCGATCCGTCTGTGTTTGCCTTTAGACGTCTGAAAGTTGAGAAAGTCGGAGATAACTGTTTCATTTGCGCCGTCACTTTTGCCACATATTGCGATAGTGAAATATTTATTTGGTAAACTCGGTGGGATTTTATTTCTTGGAAACGGTTTCATGTACAGCGGAATTGTTTGAATAAACTGGAATTGTTCCGAATTAACTGGAAAACTTTAAAAATTTGTTTAAGGCAATCAAAACATTTAAGTTTATCTTTGCAAGTGTGTATGTTTTAGATTTAAATATAGATTACGGAAAAATTAAACTGGCACAATCCATTAAAAGTCTAGTCTAGAGTGACATCAAATCAGAAAAATCAGAATATTGAAGGGTTTGAACCTTGAACCTAGAAAATCAAAATCTGAAACATTTCGATTTCAAAAAATGAATCTCGCTATTTTTTGTGTTATTTAGCAATTGAATGCAGTTTAGAAAACGATTTTCCTTCGTTGGATATTTCTAATAATATAAAAATTTAAATTATTTTGAAAATTTGAAAATCGTAAGAATTTTAAAACTGAAAACACGATAATTTGCAGAAGTTAAATCCTAATGTCTCGAAGGTGTGAACATTCTTAATTCTTTGAAAAATCAAGACATGAACCCCCCAGCCATTGAAAGCTTAACTTTGGGTGACATTAAATTGGAAAAATCAGAACATTGAAATTTTTGAACCTTGAATGTAGAAAATAAAAATTTGGACATTTTGATTTCCAATTTCAAAAACTGATTTTTTTTTCGCGATGTATCTCGGTGATTTTTGTATTATTTGACAGTTCAATGTAGAGTATTGAAAACGATTTTCATTCGTTGGATATTTCTAATGATATGGAAATTTAAATTATTTTGAAAAATTGAAAAATTGTAAGAATTTTAAAACTGAAATCACGGTAATTGGCTGAAGTTAAATGTTAATGTCTCAAAGGTGTGAACATGCTTAATCTTTTGGAAAATCGAGAGATGAACCCACCCATATTTTTTTTAATTCTTGAAAAATTTGGAATTTTTGAAAATATTTACAGCAATTGTGACAGAAAAAATGTAAATGTGTAAATTATAGTTAAAATACGACAATCCATTAAAAGCTTAGCTTAGAGTGACATCAAATTGGAAAAATCAGAACATTGAAATTTTTGAACCTTGAATGTAGAAAATAAAAATCTGAAAATTTTTATTCCCAATTTCAAAAACTGATTTTTTTTCGCGATGAATCTCAGTGATTTTTGTATTATTTGACAGTTCAATGTAGAGTATTGAAAACGATTTTCGTTCGTTGGCTATTTCTAATAATATGAAAATTTAAATTATTTTGAAAAATTGAAAATCCTAGTAAAATCGTAAGAATTTTAAAAGTGAAATCACGGTAATTTGCTGAAGTTAAATGTTAATGTTTCAAAGGTGTAAACATTCTTAATTCTTTGGAAAATCTAGAGATGAACCCACCCATATTTTTTTTTCTTGAAAAAATGGGAATTTTTGAAAATTTTTACAGCAACTGTGACAGAAAAAATGTAAATGTGTAAATTATAGTTAAAATACGACAATCCATTAAAAGCTTAACTTAGAGTGACATCAAATTGGAAAAATCAGAACAATTAAATTTTTGAACCTTGAATGTAGAAAATAAAAATTTGGAAATTTTGATTCCCAATTTCAAAAACTTAAATTTTTTTCGCGATGAATCTCAGTGATTTTTGTATTATTTGACAGTTCAATGTAGAGTATTGAAAACGATTTTCGTTCGTTGGATATTTCTAATGATATGGAAATTTAAATTATTTTGAAAAATTGAAAATCGTAGAAAAATCGTAAGGATTTTAAAACTGAAATCACGGTAATTTGCTGAAGTTAAATGTTAATGTCTCAAAGGTGTGAACATGCTTAATTTTTTGGAAAATCTAGAGATGAACCCACCCATATTTTTTTTAATTCTTGAAAAATTTGGAATTTTTGAAAATATTTACAGCAATTGTGACAGAAAAAATGTAAATGTGTAAATTATAGTTAAAATACGACAATCCATTAAAAACTTAGCTTAGAGTGTCATCAAATTGGAAAAATCAGAACATTGAAATTTTTTAACTTTGAATGTAGAAAATAAAAATTTGGAAATTTTGATTCCCAATTTCAAAAACTTAAATTTTTTTCGCGATGAATCTCAGTGATTTTTGTATTATTTGACAGTTCAATGTAGAGTTTTGAAAACGATTTTCGTTCGTTGGGTATTTTTAATAATATGAAAATTTAAATTATTTTGAAAAATTGAAAAATCGTAAGAATTTTAACACTGAAGTCACGGTAATTTGCTGAAGTTAAATGTTAAATGTCTCAAAGGTGTGAACATTCTTAATTTTTTGGAAAATCTAGAGATGAACCCACCCAAATTTTTTTAATTCTTGAAAAATTTGGAATTTTTGAAAATTTTTACAGCAATTGTGACAGAAAAAATGTAAATGTGTAAATTATAGTTTAAATACGACAATCCATTAAAAGCTTAACTTCAGAGTGACATCAAATTGGAAAAATCAGAACATTGAAATTTTTGAATCTTGAATGTAGAAAATAAAAATCTGGAAATTTTGATTCCCAATTTCAAAAACTGAATTTTTTTTCGCGATGAATCTCAGTGATTTTTGTATTATTTGACAATTCAATGTGAAGTATTGATAACGATTTTCGTTCGTTGGCTATTTCTAATAATATGAAAATTTAAATTATTTTGAAAAATTGAAAATCCTAGTAAAATCGTAAGAATTTTAAAAGTGAAATCACGGTAATTTGCTGAAGTTAAATGTTAATGTCTCAAAAAGTGTGAACATTCTTAATTCTTTGGAAAATCTACAGATGAACCCACCCATATTTTTTTTAATTTTTGAAAAATTGGGAATTTTTGAAAATATTTACAGCAATTGTGACAGAAAAAAAATGTAAATGTGTAAATTATAGTTAAAATACGACAATCCATTAAAAGCTTAGCTTAGAGTGACATCAAATTGGAAAAATCAGAACAATGAAATTTTTGAACCTTGAGTGTAGAAAATAAAAATCTGGAAATTTTGATTCCCAATTTCAAAAACTGAATTTTTTTTCGCGATGAATCTCAGTGATTTTTATATTATTTGACAATTCAATGTGAAGTATTGAAAACGATTTTCATTTGTTGGATATTTCTAATACATGATATAAAAATTTAAATTATTTTGAAAAATTGAATGTTAGAAAAATCGTAAGCATTTTAAAACTGAAATCACGATAATTTGCAGAAGTTAAGTCCTAATGTCTCAAAGGTGTGAACATTTTTAATCCTTTGAAAAACCAAGAGATGAACCCACCCATATTTTTTTAATTCCTGAAAAATTTTGAATTTTCGAAAATTGTTACAATCTTGACAGAAAAAATATAAATGTATCAATTAAAATTAAAATACGACAATCCATTGAAAATCTAGCCTAGAATGACGTAAAATCAGAAAAATCAGAACGCTGATGTGTTTAAACCTTGAACATAGAAAACAAAAACTGGGAAATTTTGATTCCGAATTTCAAAAAATGAAAATTTGTTCTCCAGGAATCTGTGATTTTTGTATATTTGGCGATTCAGTGTAAAGTATTGAAAACAATTTTCATTTGTTGAATTTCTATTAACACAAAAATTTAAATTATTTCGAAAAATTAAAAAACCCTAAAAAAATCGTACGCATCTTAAAACTGAAATGACAATAATTTGTTGAAGTTAAATCAAAAAGTCGTACGATGTGAAAATTTGTATTTCCTTGAGAAATCCAGAAATGACCGCTCCCATTTTTTTTTAATTCTTGAAAAATTTGGCATTTTCCAAAATTGTTACAACAATCTTGACAGAAAAAACATTAATGTATAAATTAAAATTAAAATACGACAATCCATTGAAAATCTAGCCTAGAATGACGTAAAATCAGAAAAATCAGGACATTGAAGTGTTTAAACCTTGAACATAGAAAACAAAAATTGGGAAATTTTGATTCCGAATTTCAAAAAATGAAAATTTGTTCTCCAGGAATCTGTGATTTTTGTATATTTGGCGATTCAGTGTAAAGTATTGAAAACAATTTTCATTTGTTGAATTTCTATTAACACAAAAATTTATTTCGAAAAATTAAAAAACCCTAAAAAAATCGTACGCATCTTAAAACTGAAATGACAATAATTTGTTGAAGTTAAATCCAAAAGTCGTACGATGTGAAAATTTGTATTTCCTTGAGAAATCCAGAAATGACCGCTCCCATTTTTTTTTAATTCTTGAAAAATTTGACATTTTCCAAAATTGTTACAACAATCTTGACAGAAAAAACATTAATGTATAAATTAAAATTAAAATACGACAATCCATTGAAAATCTAGCCTAGAAGGACGTAAAATTAGAAAAATCAGAACATTGAAGTGTTTAAACCTTGAACATAGAAAACAAAAATTGGGGAATTTTGATTCCGAATTTCAAAAAATGAAAATTTGTTCTCCAGGAATCTGTGATTTTTATATATTCAATTCAGTGTAAAGTGTTGAAAACAATTTTCATTTGTTGAATTTCTATTAACACAAAAATTTAAATTATTTGGAAAAATTAAAAAACCCTAGAAAAATCGTAAGCATCTTAAAACTGAAATGACAATAATTTGTTGACGTTGAATCCTAAAGTCGGAACGATGTGAATATTTTTATTTCCTTGAAAAATCCAAAGATGAACGTTCCCATGTTTTTCTAGTTCTTGAAAAATTTGGGATTTTCCAAAATTGTTACGACAATGTTGACAGAAAAAATATAAATGTATAAATTAAAATTAAAATACGACAATCCATTGAAAATCTAGCCTAGAATGACGTAAAATCAGAAAAATCAGAACATTGAT